CTAATATTCTCCGGAATACGAGCCGCCAAATCGTTTAACAACCAGGTACCCATTTTACTCTGGGGTGAACAGAGGATTTAGTTCATTGGCGCCCAGTCAATCCTCCCCGGCCAGGATACGAACCCAGGCAAAAGCGCTTGCGAAGCGCCGGGCGAGTGCTTTACCACTATGCCACGGGGACTGCTTTTAATTTATGCAAAATGAAAGTTTGCCACAATTGTGCATTAGCGTTAGAATTGTAGAGATAAATGTAGCCTCTGCCATTAGATTAATGAGAGGTGGGGGAGCTAATGAATTAATCCTCTCGGGTCAAAAGGTGGGAAGTAATGAACAATGTATGATGAAGAAGAGAGCATATATGAATACATTATGTTATAATGTTATAAAGTATGATGTTATTACAGAGTGTATTGCTGTGCCCAAGAGACAATTTACACCACCATGGGAGGATTGTAATGTAGATGTAGTAATTACTCCCTTGCAAAAGAAAAAAAATGTATGTATGAAATAGGAGAGCTGAGGGCAACATATGATTGTATAATTAGAAAATTGCCTACAGAAAACACTCTACATGTATATTGTGATGGGTCAGTAGCTAGGGATGGGAAGGCAGGATGTGGAGTCTTGATCAGGGAGTACACTGACATCGGCACTGTAGATACTGTTATTGGACGCCGCTTAACTGACAATGTCTCTTCAACGCAGGCTGAACTCCAAGGCGTATTAGCAGGATTACAGGAAGTAGTCAAATGTGGTAAAAATGCTTGCTTCTTTATTGACAGTAGAGGATTGATTGATTGATTGATGAAGATTAAGCCACCCAAGAGGTGGCACGGGCATGAATAGCCCGTAAGTGGTGGCCCTTTCGAGCCATTACCAGTATCAAAAGATGATACTGGAGATCTGTGGAGGCGCAACTGCACCCTGCGTGACGGGAGATGTCTCCCGGACCAAGTGGTGACCAAATGGTGCTGTTTTCGGATGATTGATTGATGAAGATTAAGCCACCCAAGAGGTGGCACGGGCATGAATAGCCCGTAAGTGGTGGCCCTTTTGAGCCATTACCAGTATCAAAAGATGATACTGGAGATCTGTGGAGGGGCAACTGCACCCTGCGTGACGGGAAATGTCTCCCGGACCAAATGGTGACCATGGGGTGCTGTGCTCAGTGATGATGATGATGAAGATTTAAGCCACCCAAAAGGTGGCACGGGCATGAATAGCCCGTAAGTGGTGGCCATTTTAAGCCATTACCAGTATCAAGAGCTGATACTGGAGATCTGTGGAGGTGCGAATGTACCCTGCATGATGGGAGATGTCTCCCTTGTGAATGTGTTAAGATGAAGATGAAGCCACCCAATAGGTGGCACGGGCATGAATTGGTAAGTGGTGGCCCTTTTGAGCCATCACCAGTATCAATAGATGATACTGAAGATCTGTGGAGGTGCGACTGCACCCAGCGTGACGGGAGATGTCTCCCGTGTTTTAAACAGATGAAGAAGATGAAGATGAAGCCACCCAAAAGATGGCACGGGCATGAATAGCTCGTAAGTGGTGGCCCTTTCGAGCCATCACCAGTATCAAGAGCTGATACTGGAGATCTGTGGAGGTGCAAGTGCACTCTGCGTGACGGGAGATGTCTCCCATGAATGTGTCCAAGATGATGATTAAACCATCGAAAAGGTGGCACGGGCATGAATAGCCCGTAAGTGGTGGCCCTTTTGAGCCATTACCAGTATCAACAGATGATACTGGAGATTTGTGGAGGTGCGACTGCACCCTGCGTGACGGAAGATGTCTTCCGTGATTTTAACGGATTGAATTGATTGATGAAGATGAAGCCACCTAAAAGGTGGCACGGGCATGAATAGCTCGTAAATGGTGGCCCTTTTGAGCCATTACCAGTATCAAGAGCTGATACTGGAGATCTGTGGAGGCGCGACTGCACCCTGCGTGACGGGAGATGTCTCCCGGACCAAGTGGTGACCAAATGGTGTGACAGTAGAGGAGCGTTAGAGTCTTTAAATAGCAGACGCCCAGTATATCAGAATATTGTGATAGAGTGTAGAGAGAATGTTAAGAGACTAGAAAAAACTGGGTATAAAGTAAGATTCATGTGGATCCCTTCACATGTGGGAATACTGTTGAATGAGGTAGTTGATGACATAGTGAAGAGAGCCACGGAAAAAACTCTTGTTGATGTTGTATGTCAGTTAACCTTGAAACAAATAAAAACGAGAATCAAGATGATCCGAGAGGGTGAAGAAATGATAAAGAGAATGGCAATGGTGGACAGTAGTAACACACTTAAGAATTATTCAATAATAAATACAAATTCGTCCTTCACTTATGGTAAAGGAAAGTCTACTTGGAAGGATTCAATTTACATGAGATTAAGATTAGGATACAAATATATCTGGCAATACGGTGTTGATGTCAGGGAAAAAGATAAGGAGTGTAAATTATGTAGTATGCCGCACGCCCACACCTTAGAACATTATGTATTAGAGTGTCAACTTATTGATAACTATAGAAATAAGGAAATAAGTAGTGTACCGCATCAAATTGTTTGGATGTGTGATAATGGTATGATAGACAGTATACTTAGGAGCAACAAGAATTTTGCCCCAAGTGTAACACTTATATTAGGTGCTTACTATATTAACCTGCAATGTTAATTGGGATTCTTGGACTGTTATTTGTCTCTTTGTACTCACTGAATTTGTGCGCCCCTTGAGGGACTTGAAGTAGAGGGGGGGGGGGTAGAAATAGCCTAAGCTACTCTATCTCTTTTGAGATGTATTTCTTTCTTGTCTCAATAAACATACTTGAACTTGAACACATGCAATGGACAACAGAGTCAGGTATAACATGTAGTGTCTTGAGGTAGTGTGATTTTAACAACAGAGATAGGATACCTAGGTCTAATTTGATTTCATGCTTGATATATGCACTTCAGCTTTCATAATCTTGCAATTTATTGACCAGTCGTTCTTGGGGTGTCGTGTCATATTTGATTTACATAGGCCTATATAAGTTGCAGTAATATTATACATGGTATACTATTCCCATGTTCATACTTACGTTCGAATTGTACTAGATTTTGTGAATATTCTTCAATTATTTACTATCAATAAAGATTTCCAGAAAGTAGGACAACGTCTTTTCCAGAACGTTTAGAAGAATCTTACTACACTGATGTTGCTATCATTTTAATATAGTGTATCTGTGTATAGCTTAACTTAAAAAATGACATATTTTAAATCTGTTTTAAAAATCGACATAATTTATGTGTACAATATTAAAAAATATTGTAACTCCAGCAATTGAAGTGTACCGTAGTATGGTGACGTCACAGCCCCCTAGCGGCGAGCCAGGAAGTTTCTGGGAGACCATAACACCAGGGAAGACGTTGCCTCACTTCTTGTGGAATTGCGTTGTCAACTACCAGTACTGAAGGTATATGATAACTGTTATCCTTATCTTTATCAGTCGCACGATAGCGGGTGATTGATGACTTGGTTATAGAGCCGTGCAGAGCGATGAGTCAGCGAGTTATGAAGGGGGAGAAAATGGAAGAAGACTCGTATAAGTCATGTGAATAATTGAGAAGGCTTCCTGGTGTGTGTGTGTGAGAGATGTTGCAGTGTTGCACATGTCTAGGCTCCTAATGCTCCCTCCACGCTCATTCTCAAGTGTCAATGACCCCATGACACATTAACTGTAGTTTAGGGGTGATTAAAATTTTTTCCTATTTTGTACGTGAGTGCATCGTGGTGTATGGCAGCGTTAGTGCAACCAGAGCTAAACATTAATTTTGTTCTTACTTATATTTATATACAAGAGTTGTTACATTCTTGTACAGCCACCAGCACGCGTAGCGTTTCGGGCAGGTCCTTAAGCCTAATATTCTCCGGAATACGAGCCGCCAAATCGTTTAACAACCAGGTACCCATTTTACTATGGGGTGAACAGAGGATTTAGTTCATTGGCGCCCAGTCAATCCTCCCCGGCCAGGATACGAACCCAGGCAAAAGCGCTTGCGAAGCGCCGGGCGAGTGCTTTACCACTATGCCACGGGGACTGCTTTTAATTTATGCAAAATGAAAGTTTGCCACAATTGTGCATTAGCGTTAGATTTGATGCCATGACTTGATAAGGTTTTACGAACATTTCAAGTAATTTGCTGCTGGTGCAGACACTGGGACTACTGACCTTTCTTAGGCTGTAACCCACAACAAGCACCCAATTTTTCTATGTATATTTGAACACGTACTGAACGGGGTGAGAATAGCTTGAGCTAACTCATCCCTTTGTGCGGATTTATACCGCGATTTAAATTTAAATTTAAATAACTCATTTAAATTTCGCCCCAACTCCCAGGTACCCATTTACTGCAAGGTGAATAGAGGCATCGGGTGAAAGGAAACGTTGCTCTTAACACTTGTACCCGTGTGGCCGTTCATCTGACCCGACTGCACTTGCCTCTGAACTATAGAACTTGAAAAGTAGTGACGGTATAGCACCAATTTTGTCTTTGTGGAAATTAGATGAAGCCTAATTAGGGTAGAGATTTATTAAATTGTATGGATAGTTTAGAAGAGATTAATTTTCAGACTAGATAACGGTACTAAATGCATAGGTGTTTATCAATTTTTGACGTACAGTATCAATTTTGTTTGACAAATTTTTGTATAGTTTGTAAAATGTACAGATTGTAGTGATGTTTGGTTTCATTGTAGCAATTTATATATTAAAGTTTGTTGAGTTTTATTTGTTATTGAGTGGCAGTAAATTATCTTATACAGGTACCTATATAAGATAACCAGCTTCTTGGGTTCTTATTATGGAATTTCAAGCCATTATGCTGCACCTTTGCTTCCATTTTGCCATAAGTGCCTTAACTTCTAGGTCTGGCAACACGAATACAGTACTTTAAAAATACTGTACTGTAACTGCAATAAACATTCTTTGTTCGAATTAACTTAACAGATTCAAGTGTGTCGTGGCTTGTAGACCTGCCACCTAGTGTCACTTGAGGAATGCAGTGGACCAGACACCTGGTGGTAAATGTATCGGATAAATATTCGAGGGAGTTCCAGTGAGTTGGATCATGTTTGATAATGTAGCATGATACAGCATATTGATGGCAGTCACAAAGTGTGGTATTAAGCACAGTACAGTACATGTTGAGGTGTAGGATATTCAGGGTACATATCAGAAGTACAGTTTAAAGATTGTATATAATGTTTTAACCAAAATGCAGTATTGTATATGTTAGGAATATACAAAAATGGCAAATACAGTATTGTACATTACTGTACACATGGCTAGCAACATGAGATTGCATTTTTTCATGAATGTTAAAAGGGATAATGATTTACACAACCGTCTCCACATTCAGTAACAACTCGTGTTTCGGAACATATATAAATTAATCCTTTAGTTTTCCAGTTGGAAATTTCTTTTTTGCACGCTTGAGTTGATTTGATCCCACTATTTTTTGTTTCAATTCTTTATTAGTTTTGGTGTGCACTTTTAGATTATTGCTGGTGATCCAATAACCATCAGGATGGCTACATGATCTAAGGCACCAGGCTCTGAGTAACATGCCTCCCAGTAGAAGGGGTCATGGGCATCCTCTCTCAGGACACAAGTTCATATACAATTTGACATTAATTTTATAGGGTACAATTGGTTTCATTCTCAACTTGCAATCGGGGACCCTGGGTGAAACGGAAATGGTTGGGCACGTTTCTTTTGCCCGATTCCTCCCTTCACCTAACAATATATAAATATGTACCAGGGAGTTGGGCAACTGTTATGGAGTTACATCCTGGGGAGGGTTGGTAGTTTGACCTTGGGCGACCCTGATATGAACCTAAAGTATATACATGCACAGCTTCCTGGCCTCCATAAAACACATTAATATTTAACGCTTCTAATATATTCGTTTTCGTTGAGATTTTCTGCTGGTAACAGTATTCTGAGCTTCCATGTGAGTATTCATTGTGTTGTCAGTCTACAAAATATTATTAGTGACTGGTTTAAAGAGTGGCCATAATTAGTTAACCTTAGGTTGGGTATTTCAAGCCTTTTCTTTCGTTCAGGCAGTTTGTCGGGAAATCTTTTTGGATCTTCAGGCTGTGTGCTTTTCTAAGTTACTTCATACTTTCTCATCCAATACAAGTATTGTATCGAGAATTCTATATTGCCTTTTACAGTATTGTATACCGTGTAGTGACTTAATGTACTGTACATACATAGCATATATGAGTGTTTGCTGGACATTAATAAAAGCAGTGTGTTGGTAATGTGAATTATATGGCTTCCCCTACTTGGGTTAGAAAGCTTTTTATCATTATAAAAGCTTGTTAACCCAATATTGTTGTCATTAATATTTTGGGTTAAGTTTTATTGGGAATGTCTAAAAATTAACACATTTTAATTCTGATATTTTGCGTGGCAGAAATTGCCGTAATCCAAATTTCTATTATACGTACTGTAGTTAAGTCAAACACCTGTTCAAATTTATTTGGGTTTCTTGTTCAGTTAACCTTTTAACCCATATTTGTATTTTAGTTATAAGATAAAGGAACTCTTAACACTATCGCGCCTGGTGCGTGAGCGCTGTAGACTTTGACGGCATGGCCCCGGCGGTGCGGGCGAGCGTTCGGCAACACCTAAATGTGTATATTCGGTTCGGTTTTCTCACCTTAATTCTTATGCTACGTCGTTCGTTTTGGTATCATTGTGTTCGCAATTAAATTCCCTGCAGGTGTATATGCATATAATGTCCAAAAGCCTGGCGAGACTCCCCGCAGCAAAGCCTAAAGTTACCCGTGAACGAGCACCAATTTGCACACCACAACCTAATGTGTGTACTCGTTCAGTTTGATAACATCAATTTTCGTGTTACGTCACTCATTTTGGTATCAAATTGTTCGCAATATAAAGGCGCGCATTTTAAAACTAGTCTCATAATAATAGAGCAATAACTGGTATTTTAACAAATATTTTAATTTTGGATGCTCATCACAAAATTATTTATCTTTCCAGTGTTCTGACAAAAATTTTTGTGCTCCATCTTTCATTTTGGTATCAAATTGTTTGCAATCTAAAGGTACGCATTTTAAAACTAGTCCCATAATAATAGCACAATAAATATAATTTTAATAAATACTGTATTTTAAAATTTTAAATTTTTACCAAAAACATATTTATAATCTTTCAAGTGTTCTGACATCAAGTTTCGTGTTAAATCTTTCATTTTGGTATCAAATTGTGTGCATTTTATAGGCATTCATTTTGAAACTATCCCAAAGTCGATCGGATAAAAAATTGAATTTAAACAAATATTTTTGTATTGGACGCGAGCGCAGTCCAAGGCCAGGACTCGAGAGAAAAAAAAGTGGAAAAGTGGATGCGAGCGGTGTCCAAAGAGCGATAGTGTTAACACTTTTGCTCGCCGGGTGAGCGAACGCCAGACCACCCCAAGGTGCGCCCCGCATTCCATGGGAGCGCGTGGTTTTTGAATTTTGGTATGCACTCTTTTTCAATTTTGTTTTTCAATTTTGTCACGTCAATTCTTGTCCTAGGTCTTTCATTTTGGTATCAATGTGTTCGCAATAGAATCCCTTACAGGAGTACATGCATATAACGTCCAAAACTACGGCATACCACTCACAGCAAACGGAGAAAGTGACATCGCGTTACTCGTGAGCGCTCAAGAGCAATAAAATGTGTATACTCTCTTCAACTTTGTCACCTCAATTCTTATCCTAGGTCTTTCATTTTGGTGTCAAAATGTTTGCAATAAAATTCCCTACAGGAGGAAATGCATATAATGTCCAAAACCACGATGCGCCACTCACACAGCCAAGCCGAAATCAGGCCAAATTTTTCAATTTGACGCCATACTGTGTCATTACCGAAAAATTCGTCTACTACATTTTTGACGCCATACTGCTACATTATCGAGCGAAAGTGTCAGACTAAATAGTTGTAGTACTGTATTTGTATTAGTCACACTGCTTGCTCAGCTGCTGTCGAGTCAATTTAGTGGCAATTATTAATCTGTGGTGTCGTTTGTATACCAAAGGTTTATCAGTGGTTGGTTCACTCTACAATATCGTGTGAGTACCCCATTCCTTTTTGCTGCTTTTGAATCAACATTAGCAAAATGGTAAATAAATTAATCTGCTCTTGGTGTTTATACAATGTAGCTTATCCTCGTTTTACATGAGATTAAAGAGAGCAGAGGCCAGCATGATTTCCTGTTTTAAAGGACTGTACTTTACTTTATTTTCTGCATGCACTCGAATTTAATCTAGACAAGACAAATAAATTGAAATAGAGACGAGATTGTTGCATTCACTCATATTCATGTCCTTTCTCTTATATGTAATTTATACATTTTTTTTTCAGGATGTCTGCCCCTTATCCAGTAGACCCAAATAAAGCCAGCGCCCCTCCTAATCCTGGATGGGCCTATCCGACAGCACCAGCCTCAAACCCAAGCTACCCTAGCCAGCCAGGCTATGCTGTACCCCCAGGTTATCCACCTCAGCCATCTGCTGGGTTCCCATCTCATCCACCACCACCTTATACTGCCCAGCCAGGCTTTGGTGCCCAGCCAGGATTTGGTGGCCAGCCAGGTCCATATGTAAGTAGAGTACTCTATGGCAATATTGTACTGTATATTAGCAAGAAAGAAGCTACAAAGTAAGTTTTTATAGGAAATAAACAAAAAAATAATGGACAGGAAAAAGGAGTAATTGAAACTAGAATTAAATAGAACTAGAGGTCTGAGTTGTAGAAATATGCTCAAATTATGTAATACTATAAGAATATAAGCGTTCCTGTAGTAGTAGTTCCTGTAGTTTAACACTTTCGTTGGCCCGGCGGGTGACCCACCACACACCTCAAGGTAGGCTGAGCGGTGCGCGTGAACTCTCCACCATCCACAAATGTTTATACTCTTTTTTTTTTTAGCTTTCTCACCTCAATTTTCGTGCTGCGTTATTCAATTTGATATCAAATTGTTCACAATAGACTGCTCTAAAGGAATGTGTGTGTATAAGAACGTAAAAGTCTCGTACACACACAGAAATCACAATAGCGTGATATATCAATGAACAAATCCACAAGGGCCGTGATGAGTGTTTGAACTTGCGCCCAGGATGATCCAGACGTGCCTTAGTTGACTGCACCATGACATGGTCAAAAGAATTGCAACCGGGAGCTCTATTGACCTCACTCAGATCCCGCAATCTCTGAGAGACAAACCAGGGTTTTACACAATTCCCCAATGCACTCGGGCTCTCTCAACAAGCTGTTCTACCTCTTCTCCCTTGCTTCAATACACACAAATCACAATTCTTTTGACCATGTGGCACAGTTGACAAAGGCAGTGTCTGGGATCATCCTGGGCTTAAGTTTGAACCTTCATCACGGCCCTTGTGGATTTGTTCATGCAAGTCTCACTTTCCTATACTTTAGACCTGCCGTGCACAGCCACGGTAGGCTGAAAGCTCGCCACCACGCAAAAATGTTTATATTCTTTTTTCAGCTTTGACTTCAGTTTTCGTGCTACGCCCTTCAATTTGGTAACATTGTTTGCAATAGAATGCTGTTAAGGGATATATGCATACAAGAACATGTCTCTTTCCTATACTTTAGACATGCCGCACACTGCAAGGTAGCCAGAGCGTTGCCCGAGAGCTCGCCTCTCCAATGTTCTCTTTTCAGCTTTCTCGCCTCAATTTTCGTGCTACATTGTTCAATTTGGTATCAAATTGTTCGCAATAGAATGCTGTAAAGGGATATTTGCACATAAGAACATGTCTCGCTTTTCTATACTTTCGACAAAAACTCGCGTTTCCCTCATGTACTTACCTAATTGTGCTCGTGGGGGTTGAGCTCTGGCTCTTTTGTCCCCTTCTCAACTGTCAGTCAACTAATGTACAAGTTCCTGAGCCTACTGGGCTGTATATCTACACTTGAAACTGTGTATGGAGTCAGCCTCCACCATATGTGTGTTTCTTAAAATGTTTTCATCATGGATTGGCTCTGTTCTTGATCAGTATCCATCTGGAAGTCAATTTACAGTGTTTATAAAGCTGTTAACACACATTCCTGAGATAAAATAACGGAAATGGGGAACTTTTGAACTCGAGGGGAGGCCGCAGCTGTCACGAGTGAGGACGAGAGAACAGTGAACCTCCAGTGTGGGTGGGTACCCACAAGGCGGGGTCAGGATGCCACGTGGGGTATACAGAGAATGGGCAGAAAGTGGCGCACATTTTAAAACCAGTCCCATAGTATTCGGACAAAAAATGGAGTTTTTACAAATTTGTAAATTATTTACGCCTCTTTCCGTCATTGGGCGTACTCCGTATTTTGATTGATGTCGCAATATGCAGCATTGGGCAGATAGTGTTAAAAATACTGTAGCTAATAACATGACCAATTTTGTATATTTGATGTAGCTTCAATAAATATAACTAGAAACTGTTAATTGGATATTCTTTAATACTGAAATTTTAAAATTGTTATTGAAGAAAATGCAAGACCAGCTCATAACTGTAGTTAATTAACAAACCTATATTTTTTCCTTATTTTGCCACTTCAAAATGAAGCTGAGGAGTGTGTGATTGCATTTAATCAAATGAAGTTTTCTTATTTTGTTTACCATAAGTCAGAGGGAGTGAAAGATCGGAAGTAAACATTTGGTGTAATGTAATTTCATAATCTTGAACTTCTGTACAGTAGCCATATATTTGCCCAAGGTAAATGATTTTAATCATGCCTTTTATGCTTTACAGGCTCAGCCAGTTTACAATGCTAGTGGTGGGGGATTTCCTATTCAAGATGGTGGCAGAGGATTTCCTACTCAAGGTGGTAGAGGAGATGGAGTACCAAAAGATGATATCCTGCCTGATCAGTTTGGTGGTTCCTTCTCTGATAAGGCCATCCGCCACGCCTTTATCAGGAAGGTGTATCTCATCCTGATGGTACAACTGTTGGTCACTCTGGGCATTGTGTCCCTCTTCACTTTCCAGTAAGTTTGTGTATAAAGTGTATATATTGTGTGCAAAATGTGGCAAGATTGAGAGGGAAAGAGTATAAGAACTTACTGAAGATGTTGGTCAGCAAGGCACTAGTAATTTTTTTCAATATCCCAAAATTTTTTAGTACTCTATATGCACTTTTTACTTGAAGATCTGTAGTTCTCTCACTCTTCATATTACATGCCATCAACAGAGGGTGATGTAATCACTCCCCTATTTTGATGATGGGTGGGGGGGCTGCTAAGTATTATTACTAACAGTCCCTCCCACACAGCACTGCTCCTGTGCCAGGTAAGCTACGGGCTCACCACAGCCCGTGCTACTTGGAACTTGTTCCGAGTAGCTGAATCTATCAACAACAACAACATACTAACAATCATTCCACATAGTCACTTTATGCTTGTACACCTTGTCTGCTGCTCTTGTTGTTAGGAAGTATTCTTGCTCCTTCTGGTAAGCTCAATTTGTCACACAACTGTGAACTAGTTGTAAACTCTTGAAGCACTGACACTTACGTCTACACCTAATTAACCCCTAAATTGCGCAAAACTGCATATGAAGTTCTAAGTAACTGATGTAAAAGTGTGCATCACTGCATATGCAGTTTTGGAATACTACGCAAGATTTATATACGGGGTTCGCATCACCTTCCTCAGGGCTCTTGTAAACAGATGCCATTTTTTTTTTTTTAAATCGTGGGCAACATTCCCGGATGTGAGGGTCTCGGTACTGAGTGGGTCACCAAGGCTGGCGCACGAAGCCTGAGCTCACAGCACCGCTGTTCAGCTTGTGACCATAGCATCGCATAAAAATGTACAAAATATATGTAACTGGTATTATTTAGTGATAGTATTACAGAAGATCCCTGACTGTGATATAAATGACCAGAATTCTGATACTGTAATACTGTAACAGGATTGTTGATAATTTGCACTGTGCTGTGGGAGGAGTAATGTTGAGGGTAGGAGGGCTGTAGCGTCATACCATATAATGTGTGTATATAGTGTAATAACACCACAAAGAGTATACTTGAAGGAGGAATGTTAGTGCGTCTGGCCTTGAACCAGGGAGGGTGGGAACATCAGTTATGTAGCCACCTGTTACTGTCTGCCATCACCATACAAGCAAAGTGGCTCACTATGGTGAACACAAATGTAGGTACTTATATACAACATGTATATATAGTGTAATAACAGCAAAAGGAGTGTTGGGAGAAGCCATTTTGGTGATGGAGGTGGCATCATCTTCCTGACTTATCATGCTGTGTAAGGGTGGCCACTATGCACTTTGTGCACTATACCAGCTTAGATGTACAGTTATGGTGAACAAAACGTGTAGAAACATAAAACGTATGTATCTACATACGTTTTATGTAGAGAGTGAAGAGTTTTATATAGAGAATAAAAGTAAAAACAGTATGGTGGGAGGAGGATGTTGGCGAGTGATGCGTTTTTAAGGGAGGGAGTGGTGGCGAGTGGCTGGCTGGTGGGATGGCTACTTCTCTTTGCTTTTTGACTCGATATCAACTTGGTTCGTTATGGTGAACAAAACATGCAGATACTTGTATATAACCTGTGTATATAGTGTAATGACAGCAAAAGTATTTGTTCATTGTTTTATGAACATAATAACTGAATCAATAATATGCACCATAATTTTAAGTACAGCAAAGATTCACACATTTTATTATATAAATATATAACACTACACACTATTGAATAATATTACTGCAAAAAAAACTGAGGAAAATAAATCGAAGACATTGCAATAATTAGGAAATAACATCTTTGTGGCAACTCCCGCCTGACAGCTGGGGCGAAGCAGACCACCTCTGGCACCTGCTCTGTCAACGCTTCATTTTTTGCCAGACTTCCCTGTCCTATTGCGGCCAAAATATGCCACTTATGATTTTTTTATTATTTTTCCCATGATCAGGGAACACAAATGAACACTTTTATAGGACAAAATAATTTTTTTTTTTTTTTTTTTTGTCTGTGGGTGTTGAAAGCCAAATAGCCCAGAGCAGCATAGGGGTTAAGTCTGTGAGGTCAGTGACTCTGCTTGCCAATCTGCTCTCCCATATTGGGGCTCACTGGTGATGTCATTGCAAGACTTGCTTCTTGGCTGCAACCTTGCAGTTCCACCCAATCTTGTCTCTTGTTGTATATCACCTAGACCAGTGTCACTGCATCAAGTGGGAACTTGTCCTCTGGCAGTTACTCTCTGCGCCATCTTGTTTAGCTTCTTCCAGCCATTTCCTTAGAAGCTAATGTATACTAAAATTCTCTTGCACTCTCCTTAACTCCAACCATTCTTTGGGCTGACTAGTATTATGGGGGAATAAATGATGTGGTGTAGGAAAGGCCTGAAACTAAGTGGTGATTATAATACCAGGCAAGAGCCATAGTTGGACTGTGAGAGAACATCAGTTCTGAAAATTGGCCACATACAATCTATTCCTACTTGTTGGTAACTGACATATCCTTTTTCAGTTGGTTATTGTCGGCTGGTTATTTTTGTTGTACTCGCCTAGTTGTGCTTGCGGGGATTGAGCTCTGGCTCTGGTTCCCTCCTCCCGACCGTCAATAAACTGGTGTACAGGTTCTGGAGCGTATTGGGCTCTATCATACATTTGTCTGCTTGTTGGATGCCATTCAGTGTGCTTCAAAATTAATTAAAAGCCTAAATTCTGATTCATTTTTTTTTTAAGTAACTGATTGAAGATCACTGTTAATTTTAGATTCCATATGTAACTTTTATGGTTAGTTAAATTTAGGAATACAGTACATTTTGGTGTATAGAAAATTTATTACAATACTGTATACAGTACTAAAGAATAAACTTTTTCTTATGCTTGTTAAATAAATTGTAATATTGCATGCAAATGTTTCATTAATGTTATTATATTAACAGCTCTGGAGTGCGGATGTTTGTGCAGAAAAACATCTGGGTATACTTCCTCTCCTATGCTGTGTTTTTGGTAACTTACCTCTCGTTGGTTTGTTGTTCTGGAGTTCGTCGGCGGTGGCCAGGAAACTTCATCATGCTGGCAATATTCACTTTGGCCCTAAGTTATATGGCTGGAACCATTGCTTCAGCCTATGAGACCACCATTGTCATGATGACTATTGGAATAACTTGTGCCATCTGTTTACTCATCACACTCTTTGCTACCCAAACTAAGGTAAGTTGTCAATTTTATTTTAAGGGTTATCTTGAATGTCTTGCATTTTTTATTTCGTCCATTTTAAAATGTTGTGTGCGCATTTATTACCAAATAAAGCAAACTGTAATTATTTAAAAACAATGGCCCCCTTTTTAAATACAGTGGTACCTCGGCTTACGAGTGCCCCTGGTTACGTGTATTTCAAGTTACGAGCAGGATTTGCTCGGAAAATTTGTATCACGATACGAGTTTGTCAATACGCGTACGGGCTGACCTAGCGTGTGGTGGCACGGCGAGTGCCGCTCAGTTTACCAGTAATCTTCACAAGGATTTACCATTTATTTTCGGAGTTTTTGCTACTTGAGCATAAAATTTGTTAAAATATACATCGCAATGGGTCCCAAGAAAGCCAGTGGTAAGGTTCAAGGCAAGAAATCGCATGTGAGGATGACAATAGAGGAAAAGCAAGAGATCTTTCAGAAGCATGAAAATGGTGCATGTGTTGTTGAACTTTGTAGGCAGTACAAAAAATCCACGTCAACGATATGCACTATACTTGCCAAGAAAAAGGACATTGAGTGCCAAAGTGGCAAAAGGAGTATCAACAATCACAAAACAAAAGCCACAAATACTTGAGGAAGTGGAAAAGTTATTAATTTGGATACACAATAAGGAGTTAGCGAGTGATAGTGTTTAAGAGGCCATCATTTGTGAGAAAGCCAGGGTATTGCACGAAGACCTTGTAAAGAAAACCCCTGGAATGAGTGATGCAGATACGAAAGACTTTAAGGCAAGCAGGGGATGGTTTGAGAAATTTAGAAAAAGAAGCGGTATTCATACTGTTGCGAGGCATGGGGAGGCTGCCAGCTCAAACCAGCAGCTGAAAGATTTATTGATGAATTTAAAGAGTTTGTAGAGGCTGAGGGATACCTACTGCAACAGGTGTTTAATTGTGATGAGACAGGACTGTTCTGGAAAAGATTGCCTAAGAGGACATACATTACCAAGGAGGAAAAAGCATTGCCCAGACACAAGCCTATGAAAGATAGGTTTACGCTTGTGCTGTGTTCAAATGCGAGTGCCAATTTGAAAATTAAACCCTTGATAGTGTATCATTCTGAAAATCCAAGGGTTTTCAAACATTATAAAGTGCAGAAAAACCAAATGTGTGTGATGTGGAGGGCTAATAATAAGGTATGGGTGACTAGGATTTTTCTTTTGGAGTGGGTGAATGAAGTGGTGTGCCCTGCCATTAAAAATATCTGCAGGAGAAACATTTGCCACTCAAGGCCCTGCTTCTCCTCGACAATGCTCCTGCTCATCCTCCAGGCTTGGAACATTGTTGAACAGATACAGTAATTTTCTCACAGTAAAGTTCCTTCCTCCTAACACCACTCCTCTAATTGAGCCTATGGTCCAGAAAATCATAGCGAATTTTAAGAAACTTTATGAAAGGGCACTTTTCTGGAAATGTTTTGAAGTGACTGAAGCCACAAAACCCCCCCTGTAAAAATTGTGGCCAGAATGTGTGACAGAACTAGACTTTGAGGGGTTTGAACCTGTAAATGATGCGCCTATTGTTGAGGAAATTGTTACTCTGGGCCTAGTGGTGGCTGGCAAATGGGCTTGGAATTGGATGGTGATGATGTGGAGGAGTTGGTGGAAGAACACAACAAAGAACTGTCCACCGAAGAACTCCAAGCCCTTCAAAAGGAACAGCAAGAAGACCCAGCTGAGGATGTTTCTCCAGTGGAGGAGGATGAGGCAGCAGCGAATGTCCCTTCCGCACCCATTAAGAAGTGGTGTCAGATGTGGGAAGAGATGCAAACTTTTATTGAAAAGACTCGCCCAGAGAAAGCTGTAGTAGGCCGTTGCATTAATCGTTTCAATGACAATGTGATGCCTCACTAGAGAGACATCTTGCAAAGAAGGGAAAAACCATCTTCCATGGACAGATTTGTTGAGAACATCGAGCAGTGAGCCACAACCAGGACCTAGTGGTATGCAGGCAAAACTTGCCAGAGAATGCACCCCCGAGAGGTCCTCACTACCTGATGTTATAATGGAAGGGGACTCCCCTTCCAAACAGTAACATCTCTCCTCCTCCCCCCCTCCTCACCATCTTTCATACGCCAACAGGAGTCATCAGCAAGGGTAAGTAATAACTTGAACATAGTTTTGTAGTGTAGATTTTGATGAATTTGGTATAAAATTTAGTTTGAAGTGAGGTTTTTGGTAATCGGGAACGGATTAATTCATTTCCCATTATTTCTTATGGAGAAATTAGCTTCGGGTTACGAGCTGTCTCCAGGAACGGATTAAACTCTTAAACCGAGGTACCACTGTACTGTACATTAAGTTATTGCGTGCGAGGGTGAGGAAAATGGCCGATCTCTTGCAGCAAGGTGTTAGATTCTGTATTTAAGATCCATTATATGGTTAACTGTTCTTTTAAAGTTCCACTTGAGGACATGGTTAGCTGTATAGTTATTGTATGTCTTGGTATTAATGATTGTTTTTCATAATTTTACTTTTTTTTTATATAAAAAAAACCTTCATTTTTGGAAAATGGCTTTAGTTTTTATAAAATAGCTTGGAAGAGTTGATGGGTGCAAATACTGTAATGCATACATGTGACACACAAAAGTGTGTAGCTTGTGTATCACACCCATATTACCTCCACATAATATTTGTGGGCTAGTGAAAAACATGTAACAATTCTGAAAGAGAAGGATTTTTGAGTGATGGGCATGCATGGAGTTGGCTGGGAGAGTAATGAGTACGTGTGGAGTTGGCAAAGTTGTCAGTCTGAAGAGTTTGTGTGCATAGCAGCACATGTGTAAGTGTGTGTGTCAGTGTTGAGAGATGTCACTGGTTATTCAATATACACATAAGGTGAGAAGTAGTGTAAAATGTTAGGGGGAGGTTAACCCAGTGTATAAATAAAAGCAAAGCTATTGTGGTGAAAATCTGGAAGTGGGAGATGAGGGTATGTACTTGAAGTGTGTGATAAGTGAAGTAGGAGTGTATACAATCGAAGATGTGCATAGGGTTAGTCTGGGAAAGAAAGGGGCTGTGCAATGGAAGCCTTGGTTAGAAAAAAGCAATACATGACTAAAAGTGGGCAACAATGGTTATGCAGTAGTGGCTCGGACTAACGTATAGCTTTGAGACGTAGGCTTAGTATAAAATGAGTGTTCATGTATTTCATAAACTGTAAGATAATGTAAATGTAAAAACTGTAAATGACATTGTAAGGTGGTTTGGAATGCCAAACAGCTTTGGGATATGGTAAACTGGTGAAATGCACAGTGAAGAAGGCTGGCAAGGTGGGCAGACATGGTGAATGTGTGAACACTGCTGGGTGGAAGAGGCTTGTGAGATGGAAAGAAAAGTATACATCTGAAGTGTATTTCACAATGTAAGAGTAGCCCTCTGTGTACACCTGATCTTCCAAAGTGGTGGGTTGCTGCTCTGGATGACCATGTGTGTGTTAATGCTTGCTTATCTATGGTGCTTTGTCTTGTCAATAATCAAATGAATAGATGAGAAATATTTCAAATGTTATTATTTAATAACTATTACCTTGTGTTACTATTATGATCAACTCCACTATTGTTGCTCCTCTGAGAGGATGCCTCCCCAACCCACAGTGGTGGAAAATGGGGTAATGGTATTGGGGTGTGATCAATAGTTAGAGTATGACATTCTATAACTGTGTATACAAATAAAGGTGATTATTGAATGTAAGAGCTGTTAATCATCTGGTTGAGATAGAGGTTGAAGTTCCATCGTCTGCTTTTCAGTATGATTTCACCGGGTGCGGGATATACCTCTTCGTGGCAGCCATGGTCATGTTTTTGTTTGGAATTATTGCCATCTTCACTTACAGTAAAATTCTCTACACCGTCTACTCTGCTGGAATTGCTCTGCTTTTCTCAATGGTAGGTTGCTTTTCTAAGGTTAGTATTCTGAAAACCTTAGGATGTTTGTTAAAACTCGAAGATCCTCCATTCAAACCAAATTTGAAGTAAGTGTTTAGCTACACCACTTTCACGTTAAGAATAATAAGTCTCATTACAGCATGAATAATGCACTCCTATTTTTTTTGTCATTTTATTTTGATTTTTAACCCTGTTCATAGCTTGCAAATCCATATTTTAATTTTGTAATTTTGTTTAATTCCACTTTCCAGTACTAGCAGCCAGACAAGGTACTGCATAAAACTAAATAGACAGAGTTCACTCTTAGTAATAATGTAAATTTTTGGATGCTCAATCAGAAATTTTGTATACATCCTAATGACTGTGGTTTACATGTTTTACTGTAGCTTTATTGTCATCTTGCTTTCACAGTAAAGCTTTTGCATCTTTGGTGCGGGGAACTATAAAGTTATTCATGTGTTTACAAGAGAGAACAAAGATCTTTAAAGGGCTGGAAGCGTACTGCCGTCGGCAAATAAATCCAACCCGTCCACTTGAAATTATAGTACTTATAGTAACTATTTGGTCAAAAGTACTAATATGTAGTGATGGACCACAAATAATCCACTTTTTGTTCTATTAATTTCATAGTCTGTAAAAAATAAGCTGAAAACTGAACTTAAATATTCCTAGGCCTAGTATAGCATGTATGTACTATATTAAGCCTAGGATTAGGTCAGGTCAGGTCATGTATTTGTTGCAGATAAATTTCCAATTTGTCCAAATTCAATAATACAAGTCGACCAGAAGTATTGGTCTCTACATATTGTTACTTTCGACCGAATAGTTACTACGAGTATGTACTGTCATTTTAGGAAGATGGGCTGAATAATTAAAACCATAAACACTAAACTCATATAATTCAGATATTGGTTTATCTTGGCCCGTTGCCAGCTTGATAATTACTTATGATAGACCGAAATGTCGCCACCTTTTCACATCTCTTAACGTATGTGTTTAGTCTTGTTACAGCCATGGCATCGTGACTCATTATTTCTAGATCACAATTTAAGATGGGATTCCATAGTCAGGCAGCATCGGTAGTAATAATAAAATATTGCCGATTTATATTTCCTAGACTAAGTTTCAGATACTTTTCATGATTTATATTAGTGAGTCATTCTGAATTCCTGATGAAAATTGTATGATATATATATATTAGTTTGAAGGCTGTCACACTTTGTGAAGGAGAGCGCAGTACTTGTTCTGCAAGTTTTCATGTGTGGTACTGATTATTAGACTCTCTATGGGACATGAGTTGATAGTTTAGTTTAGTAATTAAAGATTTGAGAAATTGTGGAACTAGCAGAAATGTTGTTTAGCTACCTGTTCACCAATGTGTTATGCCTCATGCAGCAGTGAAGTGATATGGCAGGTATAATAAATAAATAATAAATAAATAAATGTGAACTGTCATACACCTACACAGACCCTGTGTATTTAATCCAGAATGTAATCCTGGAATGAAGAGTTATCAGGTATTATATACATGGTGATTAAAGGGCATGTCCACAATCTGCACAGTCAAATGACTTGCTAGAGCAGAGGATATGGTAGGAAATGCTTAGTGAGCATAATAGAGCAAAGGTAGCATCAGCCAGGAAAATGTTGGTGGATTGTGAGCATCTTCAAATCTAGGAATTCCACCACAATGCTCACGACTTTCTAATCACTTGTTTTCGTATCTGAAATACTGATCAATACTCGACTCCCATTTCAAGGCATGGCTATCTTCATACCTTGAGGTAGTTCCGAGGATCAGTGTCTCTGTGGCCCGGTCTCTAACCAGGCCTTGTAATGGTTGTCACATCCAACAACCAAGCTGTTGGATGTGGATCCAACATCCACATATGAATTACAGCCAGGTTGATCAGGTATCCTTTGAAAGTGTTTTGAAATAAGAAATGTATCATATAATATGTACATGGAAGGTACTGTGGTGGATATGTGGGCCTGTGGGCCACTCCAAGCAACGGCCTGTTGGATCAAGCTCTCACAAGTCGAGCCTGGCCCCGGGTTGGGCTTGGGGGAGTAGAACTCCCAAACCCCCATCCAGGTACAATCGAGGTATATTGCACTCGGACACAATTTACTGGAGCTGTCTTGCCACTAAAATGTACTCTAGAGAAGAGACAAGGGCATCATATAATACATGCATGGGAGAAACTTGGAGGTCAGGTCCTAAATGTGCAAAATAAAATGACTTTGTGGAGCAGATATGGAGGAAATAGATAAATTAGATCCAGTAACAGTAATGTTACTTTACACATTAAATACTGGTGCATCTATTTTTTTAAATTCTTGTGTAAGTTTAGAAGGATGTGTTCTGCTAGACATATCATCCGTAAGCTCAAATCCTTGTATGGGATGCATTTGCCTCCAAGAAACAGATTCCAAGTTAAAGTGGGATGCAGTCTCTTGCCAGCAGGAAAGTATGCCATGGGGACGTACGTCCTCATGAATGGTACCTTGACAGGTCGGAGGGTCCTCGCTGTCCTAAAGGGTGGATTTTTAAATCCTGCCTGAATATGAGAGGCAAAACTGTTTATAGCTTCATGCTATCCATTTCTGTACCTAGATGGGACAAAAATGGTAGGGCATGTTTTCTTTTGTGTGATGCCTCTTCACCCTCACGTAAATAGTTACCTGGAAGTTGAGCAACTGTCGTGGGTTGTATCCTGGGGAAGGTCAGTTGTTTTCGACGATGAGAAATATTGTCTTCTGTGCACGGTGGTCAGTCCACATACTGTTTGCCTTCATCTGGAAGTCGTTTACTCGGCTGGTTGTCTTTGGAAACAATGTAACACTTGTTTGGTCACTTGTGGCTAGGGTCCAGTTCCATTGAAGAGTTGGAAACCTTTCAGAGCATGGCATGCATTTCAGGCTCCTAGTTGTTACCAGCATACACTTTCTCTGTAACCCCCAAAGGTCAACTAAGCTCTTATATCTTCCCTTGCTAGGCTTGGTGGGTTGGGGCACAAAGTAAAAAAAAATGATCTCATAATTTGTATATCTTGTTATTATACCCATGATTCTTGTGTAGTGAGTAACTATGCCCACAAGTGCTCCCTATACAGGATTCTCTCTGGACAAGGAAAGTAATCCAGCCAGATCACAGAACTTGGTCCCATCCAGTTCAGCCCACCTGTTTGAGAATAGAAGAAAGATTGAGACTGTTAAGAAGATGTAATGGGTGACAGGCTCTGGGCAAAGGGGCAGGAAAGAGAAGCGCTGTGATTGAAGCAAGGCTGCGGGTATTTATATCTGTGCATATGAAAATTGCCAAGTCATAGTTTCATACATGCATATTTATACATACGTATGTCCATACATGCTTACAGTGCATACATACACATGTATGGCAAGGAAAGGGGGGCAAGGTTTTGCTGCTTTTGCCCACTCGCCAATGACATAGACGAGGAGTAAACGTTACCTTTTATTCCTTGATGAAGACATGTTAAGGTGCAGCAGGCAATGCAGAATGTTTAGGAGATGCCATAATACAAGAATGTAATACAAAAAGGTGCATAAAACATAAGAGAACTGAAATTGAGTGTGTAAGTGATAAAACCATTGTCCCAAAAAATTAATTAATTTTTGGTTAACTAAACATGTCAAAATAGCTAAACGTAAATATGGGAATTGCATAGCTCCCGGGTGAAAATTTTTCAAAGATTTTGAGACCCTTGTTTAATATTACTATATTTAAAAAAGTATTGTGTAGCAACATTAAGGTACAGGATCAGGAATACTTCCCTTTTTTCCTGTAAACTTTTATTATTCCATCTCGTGATCTAAATATTTGGGTCATCTGAACACACTATTGTGTATTTGTGGTTTCTCGGGCTTTGATTAACTGGATTAAATGTCCTAATAAAAAACAATTCTGCTTATTCAGATTTGTGATCATTAACTGTAACACGTTTTATAAAAATATACAGTAGTTAATTAGTTCAGTTCATTCATTATGCACCCCATACCCATCTTGTGGGCGGTAGTGGAAAGGGTTACAGAGGCACATAATGGGCTCAGGGACTGTAGCTGTAAGTTTTTTATGCAATAAAATCCTCAAGTCTTTGGACGATGTAAACATCTGGGTGATCTGGTAGAAATCTGGTCCTAATTTAGGTGGATAAATGCAAAATTACTATTATTTAATATTTATTTACTGTAATTAAACCAAAAGCTGTGTCGTGTTTGTATGTGACAATAATCGTGTGTGGTTTTCAGAACATCTCTACTTTTAAGGCAATCTTTTTATTTTGGGAGGAGGTTGAGGGGGGGGGGGGAGGAGTTAGAGCTAGAGGTTTGTACGGCAAGAGTGCATTTGTCGCTGTAATATGATTGGCACCTCCAGATGTGCCAAGTACCCAGGTAGTTGTACAGAAAATTATGCTGGAACTTCAATATATGTTTTAGGCCACACATCACTTGAAAGAGTAATCTATAACCAGGATGCAACCAAATAAACTGGTAGTTATATATTTAGTATCCCGGTTTGGTGCCTTCTATTGATAATTACTTACTATATATTTAGTAAATAAACTGTTGTATTAGGTTGGAAAATGCTGTTCATTTGCAGCTTTTTCAGTTAAAATCTGTTTTGTAAGGGAATTGAACATACAAATGTGTGCCATCAAAATGCTTAATTTTGATGGCAATTGTAATCACAAGGATTTTGGTTCAGCAGAGCATGTTTATCTTGGTTTTGAAATTTCTTGCATTTTGTTCCTTGTCAGTAATGGTATGGTCTCTTGAGATTGAAATGGAATGGTCTAAAATTTGTAATCCATTGACAGTGGATGATCTCTTGCTTAATTGTGAGCAGCAGTTGACATTGGTGTTCTGTGTTTCAGTACCTGGTGTTTGACACTCAGATGATCGTGGGTGGGCGAAAGCACGAGATGTCTGCCGAGGAGCACATTTACGGTGCTCTTGTTCTCTACCTTGACGTTATCAACATTTTCTTAGCTCTACTTTCTCTCTTTGGAGGGAGAGATTGAGGACTAAGACAGAACACAAGGAATGTGATGAAGTGTTGCAACAAGCATTTTGTCACAGTAGTCATAGGTTCAGTGAAAATTTATAATTTGAAATATTTATATACTTATATAATAATGTAGAGAATCAATAGTATATATATATATATAGAATCCTAAGCCTTATAATGAGGATAATATTAGTAATTCATAGAATTAAGGCCATAAACTGATGCTTAGTCCTCATTTAATACAACTTCTTTTAAAGTTCTAACAATTTCTTCTGAAGGTGTTCTAATGCCAAATTAAATGACAATCTTTCCATGCAAATTCTGAATTTTATTTTTTTGTTTTTTTGACACACACATGGGGTCAGAATTTCCACATTCATACTGTGAAAAAAATGTCGATACTTTGAAAAGTGGGGAGAACCATTAACGTAAAGCAAGTTAAGAGAGACGGGTGGAGAAGAAGATGGGCATGATATGATGCAAGTGACTCGAGGCCTTGGTGGCACACTTACAGTAGTCTCCTGACTAATGCATTTCTCACAGCCAAGAAACATCATCTAGTAATGCCCACTACTAATTTTTTTTTTTAATGCAGGATGTAATTTGTTCAATTTCCTTTTATAATATACAATGATCCATAATTATGAATACTTGATTGATGTGGGGACTTTGTTCATTTTGAATATTCAAAACATAATTATTTTTGTTGTTTGTAACATTTTTGGGATTATGGAAAGCCTATTTAGTTGTATGCAAAACCACCATTTTCCATGTTGGATAGTTATATAAATGGCCTACCAGACACGTGTGTCATTCTAAAAGTCATAATTAAATTAGTTCTGAAATACTAATAACTTCCTGAGCCTTCTTATTATTTATGACAATAAATATAACAAAAATATTAGAAATAATACATTGCAGCAACATCGAATTCCTTGGATAATGATACTTCATGTCTCGCTATCTGCCAGCATACCATCTAGTTTAATGCAAAAAGACATTTCTTGCGATTCCTTCATTAAAGCTCCACATAATGTTCACATATACATATTTCATGTCTTTCCTTCCACATTGTATCTAATGCCTGAACATGCACGTGACTGATTCTCTTAGCTCATATTCACATGCCAGTTAGTAGTGTTCCCCGATGACGTAGCCCATTCTCTTGATTACCAGTCGGTACAAATGCAATGGGTTTGCCCAACCAGAAACGTCAGAACCTAGGCAACCCATTAACCTACTGGATCAAATAATAATTAGACCCATTAAGCATAAATATGCATCGATTTGAATTTCTTTAAACGAAGGCAGATTTTACATTGGGGTCGACGGAGTAAAAATGTAGTTGTCAGTAAGAGAACAGGTTGGATAGTGCCATATTCCTTTGTCTTCATTCTCCATACTCAGTATCATCAGAGCTGCATGCATCCTTAAATTTATAATTTATATAGAAATTGACACTGGTATTGGAAGTGTACGACCAGGCTCTTACTTTCAGTAGTGTAGGTTGGAATCATTTAGTGAATTATTACTTAAGGGTGTTAAATAGCAATTACTGGTACAGTATATAAATTATGCAGGCTTAAGAGGGGATTTTTATTTATGTAGTTATTAAAGGTCTGAAGGGATTTAGGTAACTTTTTTGCTAATGTTTAATTTTAAATTCTATTCCTTGATTTTTGATTTACAAAATGCTGTAGTGTTAGTTATTAAGACTTGCATAAGTGTGATTATACAGTACAGTATTCTGAATTAATATAGTACAGTATTATATTTATAATTTCCTGGAACCGTAATTTAATTTAAATTGTTTTCAATTGGTACTGTATTGACTATTATAGTACTGTATAATAGTATTGACTATTTAAAATGTCCTTCTGTTACTAAATTAATATTAAAAGGATTTTCATATACAAAAATAAGATATTTTTCTATATTTAAATGTCATGATTAAGTTGTACTTCATAGTTTTATGCAGAACCTCAAATGCATGATGTGTGTCTTGGGAGTACATTTGAGGTACAGGAATGTGCAGTGGATGAATGGCCTCATGGTGGGAAGTATACCATTTTTTGCAGTGGGGGAGCTTTGTTGCACTTAGACTTCTCTACAGTTTTAAACTTGTTCTATTAATATACTATCAAGTTTGACAGTTGATCAAATAAGTTAATTGAATAATTTGCTCAGATAAATTTTTAATACTTTGTCATAAATTTGACTTCAAATTCAGTTGCATGAATTATGTTGGTTGTTTCTGCTAGGACTAAAGTCTGAAAAAAATACTGAATTATATATTATGGTTTCAGTATAAGCTAAACAAAAAAATGTTTAGGAAGAGGAATCACATTTGCTTGTTCTCCCCAGTATCTTGTGTACGATACGCAGATGGTGGTTGGCGGACGCAAGCATCAGATATCTTCCGAGGAGCACATCTATGGTGTGCTGACGCTCTACTTGGACATTGTTTACATCTTCGTCAATCTCCTCTCTCTCTTTGGCTCCAAGAATTAGACATTTTAGGTTTATCCTTTTCTTTGTTTAATTTATATAGGTGGGAAAGCTTTAAAATTTGATTGGATTGTAGAGTATATCCATTTTATGGTGAGCTTCATATAAAGGTTTTGTATTTGAGGCATTCATAGTTGTCATCTTTGCTTGGAGAGTTAATATCTTATTCTAACATGTATACAGTTGTCCTCTTATTTTTCTGATGTTTAGTTTCTTTTTGAATATCACTTAAACCATATAAAAATGTGGCTTACTGTAAACCAATACTTTTTGTGAAGCTCATGACTAGGAAAACTAATTTTGTACCTATATAAATTGTTTCTCCAAGCTCATTAAATTGCAGTGTATTGAGTTAAACTATTATAAGTTAACCAAAGAACTAGGTTATTTAACCCTCTATTGACAATTTTTGAAACCGGCATTAATCATTCATTAATACTCGAGGTAGTTAAATACAGAAGGCTGAGAGGGTAATAATTACTTATGCCTCTTGATTGTAAATTGTTCTTCCAGCAGTGGCTTAAGTTCCATAGAGCAAGGTACCAAGTCCCTAAATGTGTTGTTAATTATTCTTGATATAATGTTGCTTCCTAAATCTTTGATATTGTGATGACTGAAGCATAACATAGAATTTGTATTTGACATTTAGCGTCAGTCTTGTCTACAGTAGAAGGCTGATCTTTGTTAATTCAGTCTCTCATTTTTGCTGAGCATGGTATGATCATAGACAAAAATCATATGATTTGTCTGGTTTCAAAATATTCATCAAGATCAAATTCCATGATGCATCATGGAAACATCTTTGAAAGAATGTTGAGTACTTAACATTTGCATTTGTATCTCTAAAACTTTTTTTTTTTTTTTTTTTTTGTTTGCAATAGAACTAAACTTTGATGGATATAAAGTAGTGATGTCTTGCACTTAAAGATTAACTGGTTAGGCTTTCTATTACCAAGTTATTGTTTGTTTTAGTGAGACACATTTGAATTTGTTACTTTTGTGCAGCAATTATTGTATCGCCATGTGATTTTTATTTTATTTTATTTTTGAAAATGATAGAATGTATACTTAGGTATATTTTAATAAAGCATTCAAGTTGATAAAAAGTGATGTTTAATGTGTTGAAATGTTTACATAGCAGCAGAACTAACTTTTATTTACTCTTACATATAATGACAAATTTATTTTGGTAATGATTTGAAATTTAGAAAACAGCAGTGTAGTAATGCATCATCCTGAATTGTTTTCAGTAATATATGCAAGCATTACATTATAATAAATGGAGTACAGTACTGTATATATGAAATGTAATCACTTTAATATAGAAGGTAGTGTACACTGCTTATTATTGTGGTGGTCCTGTGCTGGCTGCTATTACTTGCTAACTATTGTGCTCGTTCGCATGACTTAAGAATTGACTGGTTGATATTGATCATTTATCATTGGTTTGAGTATATTTGCTTACCTTCCACCAAGTTAAGCTTGTATTATTAGATGAAAGCAAAATAATTGAGTGCAATTGGCTTGTTTACCACCCAACTTATAAGATCAAAGTTAATGTTAGTCATTCCATTAAATATAAATTGTGTGGCTGTTTAGATGGTTCTCGTTTTGCATATTTTGATATGTATCTTGTGTAAGGTACAGTAATATGCAGGTGTTTATGCTAGAGTGACTGGCCTGGTAAGTGATGTGTTGGCTGGCCGGGTTTCAGTTCTGTGCGAGTGTGGCTCGGCTCCTGCAGCGAATGTGTATCGAAATTATTATATAAAATAGGTTAAAACTTTTTTTTTTTTTTTTTTTTTTTTAGCAATTATTGGCTGAGGATATTGCTTATGCTGTTACCATATTTTTTTTGTGAAATGTATTGTGAACATAAACTACAGCACCTTTAGTTCGTTAATTTATTTACACATAAAACAGTGGCAGTATTATTGAACATTAATGTGGTGTTGGGTGATTGTGAGAGGTAGAAGTGGTAACAAAGCAACTTGGTGAAAGAAACAATACATACAGTAGGTGTACGACACGGAGGAGCCATAACCCAGGAACATGGATGCAGTGTGCTTAAAACATTAGATTTCTAAATGCTCTTAAATTATCTATAATTTCACTAACAGGTAAATCTATTTTTACTGAAGTTTTACATTGTAATTATTTAAATTCATTTGCTGTTATAATTGAGCATCTCAATATCACTTTTGGTGCAAAAAGAGAAGACTGTCTGCAGATGGCCTGTGTTAGCCCATGTGATGCAGATCTTATTTATGGCAACTGCTTCCTGTATAACTAAAACTCAACTTTAATGTAATATTACCTGTAATATTAAAAGAATATATGGACTATACCATAGCATGACTTATATCATGGTTAATTATATCTTCGCAAGGTATCTGCATGAGATTTTTTTTAGATCTGATTTATATAAAAAAAATGTTTACCAGTTTTGAGTATCCAGTTGTTTACTGGACTATAAGGCTGCAAAAAGTTTAGGAAGGAACTGTGTATTACCTCCAAGTTTTTTGTCATGTGTATATGTTTGTATGATTAGTATTTATAGTGACAGCATTGTGATAGGTGACATGCTCTTAATAAAGTTGTCAACCCATAAGTTATATTCTCAAGAGTTTAGAAATGGGTCTCACGTGTGAATACTTGGCAGTAATGGAAAACCTTGTTGCTAGGTAATGCATATTTATAATGAGACTATTCCATGTATACTTTAATAAAAGTTTTGAGAACAGCTATAGTGGAACAGTAAGTTGAGAGTAGACTTTATTAGAGGTAACATTTTGCCTGCCGTGTCATCTCTAATAAAATATAATTTCAGCAGTCTTTATCGGCTTCGTTCTCAGTGTTTTGAGCCGTGTTCAACTCTGAAGTACGGTTTGTTTATATGATATTCATGTTTACAAAGTATCTAAGTGAGGATTAACCATATTCTGTGTAGCAAAGTGTAATCTAGTTTTATATAACAATAGGAGACAAATCTCAAAGCAGGCATGGATACGGATTACTGTTTAAAAGAATTTATAAATATACCTTTGATGTTCAGTTCACAAATCATAAAATTAACTCTTGTGATTGTCTTGTAATATTTCTTGGTTGGCATATTGCTGCTGGGATTTGGCAGGTGCTGTTGTTTCACAGAATCTCTTCACTATACACCTGATCAAATATCTCATTTTTTGTCTTGACATTTTAAAGTCGTAAGATCCAATTATTATTCTTGAACTATTTTCTTAGGTATTTACAGAGGGTGTGATGACACACGTGTGATTACTCGGTACTAAATAATTAAGATACAGTATGGTACATCAGAATTGCTACGATATGCAGACAGGTACTATATTGTTTTCAATATTTTAAGATAATTGTGCATATTAATATTACTAAAGACCAATATAAAAAGATTGCTATGGGGATTTTTTTTTTTTTTTGCAAGTTAATATAATATCTAATTTTTATTAAATGTACTATATAGTTTCTCATGCGTTACACTTCACAAAAACCCAATATATGTTGGATTTGGCAGGGCGGTTTAAAGTAAGTGTTTGTAATAATACATAATAAAGATTTTTAGTCAGACTAAGTCATTTATATTCCTGCTATAATTAACTGCATATGATTTAAGGAAATGTAAAATACAGGTATAGCAAATGGTTAGTTTTTATGGGTGACTAAACCCAAGCCTAAGAAATGTATTGATTGTTTGCATTTATTCTCTATGGTTCTAATCAATGTTATAAGTACCTCCTCATGGGCACTACCTTGGCATGGCGAGGGGGATATTTGTGTGTTATTTCTATAATGGGTGAGAGAAACTGCTTTCCCTTGTCTATGCGAGCTGTGTGCAACTGAGGATGCCCAATAAAATTAGGCTTCTAGCTGGGTTATGAAACCACCCATTGGAGGGCTTGCTCTGTGGATGGAATATTATTTGGGCAGAGGGGGTTCTTTCTCATGTCTTGCCCTCCTTTTGGGTATTGTCCCATACTTCTTGGGGAACGGATAGGCACGCACTACTCGCTTTACATTCCCTTCTCGTCCTGTCTAAGCTTGATTATGGTTGCCCTGCTTACTCGTCTGCTTCTCCTACTCTTCGCCGTCTTGATGCTTTGCACCATACTGGGTTGCGCCTCAGCTCTGGTGCCTTTCGTTCGACTCCCGTCCTCAGCTTGTATGTTGACACTGGCTTCCTATCTCTCCAGGACCACCGTGATCGCAACTGTCTTTGCTATCTTGCGCGGTCCTTGCAACATCCTTCCTCTCGCCTCTGTCGTGCTTTAACTTTTACCCCTCCTGTGGTTCCTGTTCCTCTTTACCATCTTCCTCTTTCTGTACGGTTATCTCGCTTACGGGATTTTCTTTCAGTTCGTATTTCTAATATTTCTCCTTAGAGTTGTTCCTTCTTTGCCCCCGTGGAGAGTCCCCCTAATGCAGTTTTGTACTTCCTTGACCCGTATCACTAAAGCTTTTACCCCTCCTACAGTTCTAAAATGCCTTTCCCTTGAGCACTTTTCTTCTCACTCCCGCTCCGTTTCCGTCTTCACCGATGGGTCTAAGACTGCGGACAGTGTTGGCTACTCTGTTGTTTTCCTGATTGCACTTATATGTGTCGCTTACCTCTGGAGACTAGCATCTTCACAGCGGAACTTTATGCTATTCTCTGCTCTTCGTCTCCTTTCTTGTTGTCAATCTTCCTTTGTCATTGTTGACTCTCGTAATGCCCTCATAGCTCTCGGGTTCTTTAATCCAGTTCATCCAATGGTTGTCGAGATCCAGCATTGGCTGTTTCTTGTTCACAGTAAATTTAAGTTAGTTGAGTTTTGTTGGGTTCCCAGCCATGTTGGTGTCTCTTTAAATGAGCTTGCGGATGCTGCCGCCAGGGAAGCTGTCCGCTCTTGTTCCATCTCTCGTAAAGGTATTCCTTATTCCGACTTTTACCCGGTTATCCATTCCTCCATCCTTACCGTTGGTAGGCTTGTTGATCGTCTGTTACTGGTAACAAACTGCGTACTCTTAGGAGTTTTGTGTCCTCGTGGCCGTCCTACCACCGTAACCGGCAATGGGAAATAGCTCTGGCGAGGTTGCATATTGGCCATACTTGCTTAACTCATGGTCACTTGATAGAATGCTGCCCAGCTCCTTATTGTCCTAATTGCATTGTCCCTCTTATGGTCGTGCATATCCTTGTTGAATGTCCTGACTTCCGGGACGAGCGTGTGTCTTGTTTTCCGGCTGTCCCCCGCGGTTGCTTGTCCCTCGATAGTATTCTTGGTGACTTGGATACTTTTGATATCGTTCGCCTTATGCGTTTCTGTTCTCGTATTGGCATCCTTGGTGATATTTAGCGTCCTCTGATTATCCCGCACATTTAATGGTGCTACATAGCCTTCTCGGTTTGGTGCCTTCTTTTGATAATTACTCACTCACTTTCTCATGTATAGGCATATTCTTGGTTCAATGCCCTTCCCAATTGAAAAGTGGAAGTGCCACTATGGACGAAGTACCCAGTCTGCATTGACTCAAACTGTACCCCCCAAGTTACCCTGCTAGGTTGCATCACATGGCCCCAGGATCTAACCCAAGAAGTGTGCCTCTGGAAGATCTGGTCTCTCACTCCAGGGGGAGCTTCCTCATGGCTCCATGGCTGCTGCTCTTGGGATTTGACTTGACACTGCCAACTGATTACCCTGTTTTAAGATATAATTGAGTTATTGACCCATGTATAGGATGCAACTCAGTTTTAGCAATTTGTCTAACACTAAAGTTTTAACTCAGTAGTGGGTGGGGGTGTTTTACTCACTGTAGAACAGTTCCCCAGCCTGATGTCATAAACAAAGGCCAAAGTCCATTCCATGCACCCGCCAAACCCTGTTTATGAATGAAAAATGGTTTACACGCACAACTTGTCCTCAGACCAAGTCCATTCCAACCAGCGGTCGACCCCAAAAACACATTCATAACTTTTAACACGCTGTTCGTTCAAAACTAGTTTTCTCAAACATAAATTAATATTATTTTATATTACCATATTGTACATGTTTAGGCACTGGTGAGGTGTTTAGGTTCTGTTGGCAGTTATTTGTATTTGTAGTATGCAGGTGAAGTATTTACAGCATTGTGGTTCGAACAAAATTCATCAGTGAAGCACTTGTTCCGGAAGTGTTCAAACATCATCGGTTGTGAGTAGTGTGTAAACTGTTTTTCATTCATAAACGGGGTTTGGCTGGTGCATGAAATGGGCTTTGGGTCTTTGTTTCAGCCCATCCTCCAAACAAAGACCCAAAAGTGATTACATGTACCCGCCAAATCCTGTTTATATATGAAAAATGGTTTACACACGATTGATGTGTGATTAATTGATTTACTCAACTGATGATGTGCAAACACTAACGGAACAAGTGCTTCGCTGATGAATTTTGTTCGAGCCACAACGAGCACGCACGTACCACACCCACATACTATAAATGCAAATAATCGCCAACAGAACTTAAAAACCTAACCTAACCTATGCCTTTATATGTACAATATGCTAATACTGTATATTATAATATTAATTTATATTTGAGAAAATTCAAGCTTTGAATGAATAGCACGTAAACATTTATGAATGTGTCTGTGGGGTCGACAGCTGGATGGAATGGACTAGAGTCGAGGACGGGTTGCACATACCACAAATACAAATAATTGCCAACAGAACCTAAACATCTAACCTTACCTAACCAGTGCCTAAATATGTACAATTTACTAATATAAAATAATATTAATTTATATGAGAAAATTTCTGTTTTGAATGAACAGTGTGTTAAAATTTATTAATGTGTCTTTGGGGTCAACTGCTGGAAAGAATGGACTTGGTCTGAGGACTGGTTGGTCTTCCCATTGGTTTTTAAAATGGATCTGAAATACAGTTGACCAAGAAGTTGATATTCAGTCCAATAAAACATATGGCAATGATTCAATCATTGCAAACTTCCAAACATGCAAATTCCTTTCACATTTCTGATGTTCTAAAAATGTTTTGGATTAAATTATAATACTATGCTGGAATTTTAACCGAGAGTCCACTGTAGTCTGAAAGTTATTAAGCACTTGGATTATATTATTGCTTCACGAAATCTCTCAAACATTATTTATTTCATTAGATTCTGCAGCGCTTGTAATATTGAGTTTATTCATTTTATTTTTAGTCTACAATATTTTAGTGCAGTGGGATGAGTGTGTCTAGCAACTTTTACAAGAGAACTAGATTGAAAGGATAAAACAGCATGATCAACAACCATATTTGTGTTTTCAATAAATTATAGTGGAAAGATGAACCTGTAGTTGGGAACAATGCGGGTCAGTGCTGGCAGATTCCAGGGTGAGCTGGCAGCAGAACCGTGTGGTGTGTAGTTGCAGGTGCTGCTGAAGAAGAGATGTTCTGGTGGTGGCTTGAGGCTGGGTACCTAGCATATTTATTGTCTGGTGGCTTGGCTAATGGAAGAATACACACATAGCTTTAGGATTGGCCAGCCATAGATCAATGACAAGAGGCCAATGCAAGCAGTGGTCACTACTGGCACATAGGAAAAGAGAGATGAGTCTGTAGATGTTGGCGAGATGAAATTCATGAATTCCAGTTACTGGCACAGGGACTAACTTGCAACATATAATTTTGAACGGTACTGTATTTGTGGCTTTCATGCGATGTAATCTTCAGCAATAGTTCTGAATATGGACTTTTGAGGTCTTAGGAACCAACCTTATTTCTTCCATTACCAGAATCTTAGGTTCTATGTGGATTGAATTTTGCACTTTTACATGGAAACATGCTCTATGTGACTTGAGGACTACTGTACAGAATAATGTAAACTTGCGTCAGCAACAGATATTTTTGTTTTCATGTACCAAGTAAGCACAGCATCAAATGAACTTGTGTCCAAGTAGCAGTGCTCCGTGAAACACCAGATAACTGCATGGAACACATAATTTATTTAACTTGATACATGAGGGTTGATAAAACACTTTCTGTATATATTTATATATTTATTGTAAAATTATATAAAACTTGAGTATGAATTTTCCTAGAAGACTTAACAAGAAGACGCTTTTACATTATGAAATGGAGAGAAAGGAGACTTCACAGAAAAAATTCTTTGTGAGCACTCTTAACAGACACAACACCATTGATGTTTTTGTACTTTTTAAGTTTACACATGAAATGGACAGCAAAATTCTTGCCTCTTATAGTTAAGAAATTTTAAATGGTGGGACTGATTCCTCATTTTCCAGTAAAAACTGGTAATTTGGCTAAAACGCCAAGAACAGTGCGTCGTTGGGGAAATGAGGCGATAAACAGTATGAATCTAACAAATGGTATACAATTACCACTGGCTTGTGGATAATACATCAATATACAATACCAAACAAGGAAAAAATTTGAAATATTTTTTATACAGGATTTTCTACAAAGACGGGGTTTGGCTGGTGCATGAAATGGGCTTTGGGTCTTTGTTTCAGCCCATCCTCCAAACAAAGACCCAAAAGTGATTACATGTACCCGCCAAATCCTGTTTATATATGAAAAATGGTTTACACAC